CTCTTTTATCTGGTGCATCAGAAACTTTTCTTAGACGCTCCTTTTTGGTTTTCTGTCATAGGCTCTGCCTAATCCGTCACTTTAGTTGCACCTCCCTTCAGCAATGATAAGCCATCACTGCTGGTTGATGCAAAACATATTAGTACCGGCTCGTCAGCTCGCAATAACACCAGATTTAAAAACTCCAGTATGCTGTGGATACAGAGAGAGATTTACCTGGTGGTGATAGGCTTGATCAGCATTGTGTGAACTCTTTTGAAGTGCTTTGAATGTAACAGATGTTCATTTATTTGTAAAAGTCCCACACTCCAGCTTATATACCCATATACACACACACCTTATAAATTGGGATTTAGGCCTGTTATGTGCCAACTATCAGTCCAGACATTGTCAGTGTATTTAGTGCCTGTCTGTTTGCAGAAGTGCAGCCACCAAGGTCAGGCTCGTGGTTTTAAATCGGCAGCCCAGCTGAGGTTATCGAATTCCCCCTGTGGTCGTCTAGGCTGACAGGTTAACCTCTGGCTCCTCTGACTGGCAGACGTGCCTTTTTCTTGCTCTGTCCATCCACTGCTGTTTGTATCTGCCATTCCCAGCCAAACACCCTTTCTCTATCACATATCTAGTCTTTATCTATCTCCCGGCCATTTTCTGTTGCTTTCACTTTCAGCAAATCTATCAGTCATCTCTCTCTCCCTCTCTCTCTTTCCAATCCTCCACTCTTTTTCCTCCTCCTTTCTTCCTCCGCAACTTGAACAACACTTCTACCTCTGTCCCCCTGGTGCTCACTGTCATGACATTCTTGACTTTCGCTCTCTCTGACAGTCCTGATTGTCGTCCTGGTGTTATAATTACAACATATTCGTTGATGTCGCCTCAAAGAGCTGCGATTATCTCAGCGAACTAATCATCCGTCCATGTATGAGGATCAGACTCTCACCAAGTCAAAACCTGTCAGTCACCTGCCCGGCATGCCGCCCAAAGATTTTGATGTGAGGTGTGTTTTAGCAGAGCCAAATGAATGTGTGCTATTGATGCATTATGCATGGGCTTTTGTTGTGTTTCCTTCTTGATCCACCTCTTTGAATAGAAATCACAGTGACAGACGTAATCACTGTGCTTGAGTTTCACAAGTGGCTTTGACAGGTCAGTTATATTTAGATTCTTGAGCATGTGCCGACTACACTGAGAATTAGAAATCTACCAAGGGAGGACCTTGAAAGGGAGGAGCGTCTCTTCTTCTGTTGTCCCATCTCTTCTTCTTATTCACCCAGGAGATTTCTTTGGGTTTAAGATCAAGCTGTTACCATTCTTTCTGTTGTCTGGAGTTTATTCTCACTTCACTGAAGCAAGGTGGCTGTGATATCGAGGCGGCAGGCAAGACATGGTCTCTCTTCATTATCATATGGCCTTCAGTCAACGTCCCTCACTGCGCTCATAGGACACGGTCAGTGGCCTGGGAAGCTTCATCATTGCTCACTGGCTGGGTAAGAGCTGTGTGTCTGACTGGTGCGTGAGATGGATGGAGCAGCGGGCAGGAAGCGGGAGGTAAAATGAAGATTGTAGGCGAGGAAAGAGGGTGATGAGTTTTTTAAAAGTGGCAGAGGAGCTGGATTAGAGGAGATGAAGGACAATGGGTGAGATAAAAAGAAGGTGGGAAGAACAGCAGTGGAAAACGTTAAAGAAAGGACAAGGTGAACAGGGATGGCTGGGGACGGTTTTCTGTCAGATATGATTGTGTGAGTGGAAGCGGGGGCGGAGCTAGACTCTCAGGTAAGTGGGGATGGGGCTTCATCACGGGGCCCACCTGCTACCAAGTCATTTAAACCAAGTTTACATGACCCAAGACTCACTCTGAAAGTCCACTGAGTGCGTCTGCATCGCTGCTGCCGGAGCTGATCGCAGCCATTCTACTAAATATTTGTGTTCACACCAGTGGCGCTGCAGTGCGTCCAGCGTCAAGCAGCACAGAGCAGATGAACCAGGCAGGAAGTCAGCGACAGGAACGGCAGAGAATCCGGTCAATTCTTAAAATAAAATACCCTGTACAGACTTCCAATCGTATATCAACAATAAACACAGTTAAATCAGACAAAAAATAAATAATTTAACTACGTAGCACAAAGAGCAAGCACTAATCAACAAAATGTAAACATGTCGGCAAAATCCAGCAGGCAAAACGCTCTTATTCTGAAATTCTCCCTGTGGTAGTTGATAGATGCACCCGTCAAGACAAACAAAAGAACAAAAGCGGGTCAGAGAAGCACAAAAAGGACATACAAAACAAGTCATTAACGTGGGGCAGGATCACGTTCCGCTGCTACTTAAAGTTTGCTAATAATTTGTTTGAAATACAAATGTTATTTTATGATTTATATTTATTAAAACGTGTCTGCTTAGAATCTAGTGTTTTTTGTTGGCAGGGCAGTTTAGTGGAGGTTTATCATTGAAACCAGGAGTGAAGGGACTGTTTCATTTGATAAGAGCTGCTGAATTTTTCCATTACAGGGGGAGCTGCATGCAGCGTTGTCGTTCATCCATATAAACACTCAACTGAGCTAAACTTCACGGCCCACATAGGGGGCCCCCTACCCAGCCAGGGTGTTGGCCGCTAGTGATGTGCAATACCACTTAATTCCTAAACGATCCAATACCAAGCAATACCCAAGCAGGTATTGACGAAACTTTTTACATATTTTATTTCTGGTTTAATGTAACCCTTTTAAATGAATATCGATCCTAGAGCAGGAAATGTTGGCATCAGAAATATCGATACTTCGATTTGGAATAGACTCACTATTCATGTTGTTGCTCATTCAAGAGCAACAACGTTTACAAAGCAATGCAGGGAAATATGATTGAAGAGCAAAGCTGACCTATGGAAAACTTTGGACCAACATGTAAGACAATGCTCTCCACCACCATCTCCATAACACCAAATGTTTTGTTATGTCTGGCTATGTTTGTTTTACTTTCTATCTGCTGTACCCAGGTCTCTCTTGCAAAAGAGATATTGATCTCAATGAGATGACATCATTTAATAAAGGTGGCATTCATAAATGAGGAAATATCTGATGGAGGAATGGTGTTCATCCCTCCAATAGAGTTCTACAGACTTGGCAAGAAGCACCGAAGCTGTTCTTGAGGTTTGTAACCCATCTGTCTCTATGGATAGCTCTGTTGCTGGCTAATGCTAGCATGTTCACAACTGTAGAGCTTGTTAATAGTTAGCTCACCACCAAGTAGTTTGCCAACTACTCTGCAAAAAGTCACTATTTCACCAAGCTTCTAGCATCAAATATTTCATAGTGATGTGTGGATGAATTGGACTGTTCTGTTTTTGAATTTAGCGTCTAAGGAGAGAGGGTGCTGTACAGACTGCAAAGCCTCTTGAGACAAATTTAGGATTTTGGGCCACAGTATACAAATAACACTGACTTTATTTTTCTTTGACCTTCTGTAAGTAACCCAGATTACTGCCATGAACTTCAAACACTTTTTTGAACTATGAAACATTGCAAAGATTTCACCTGGCTTCCCCTCTGGGAAAGATAGTACACAGTTAAAACAGCAGAGCAAAAGTAGAGCAAAAGGGATGAAAATTCACCATCCAATTAGATGGAGGTCTGAAACAAGTTAGTAAACTCATCCTGGCACATTCCTTGCTAAAGTGACCAACTCAAAAACTTTCCTGAGTTTTCACAAGCTCCCCAGAGACCTGATCCAATTCCCCTGTTTTTAAGTGCTCCAGTCTAGAGCTGCACAATATATCGTTTCAGCATCATCATCGCAATGTGTCCATGCGCAATAGTCACGTCGCAGAACAATGCAAGCAAATGTCAAGCAAATCAAGTTAAGTCAACCACCTCAACTTTTTTGCTGCTTGATACAAAAGGAAAACTTGCTCGGTTCTCATTTCACTGACTAAACTACAGGACGAGTCTGTCTTATGTAACATCATTTACTCTAATTTTAGGGTTCTTGGATACACAGTTTGTCGCTAGTGAGTGACTGCCTGCACAGCAAACCACCAATCCCAATGATCAGTTTATTAAACAGCCAAAATAGGCCCCACCTCCTTTGGTTGACAACAACTTGAAAATAAGCGAGGAACAGGAGAAAACCATCTAAACAGTGGATATGGTTGCAAAAAGAAACTTTTGTAAATCACTCAGGGGGCAGGTAACTTTTTACCATTTAGTTTCAAGTCTGTTTACTGCATTAAAGCTCAAGAAAGGATGGTTTGTTCTTAAACAAAAGTCTTCAGAAAGACATTTTTTTAGCTTATTTATTATTTTCTATGCATTTTCCCTACAAAATCACAATTTTAAGATGCTTAATTCTTTTCAAATAGAGCAATTGAAGTCATCTGGTAAAAATCCATGTATTTTTTCATATTGCAAAATATATAGCAGAAAAGAAAGTTATTGCAATGTCATTTTTTCCCCAATATTGTGCAGCCCTACTCCAGTCCTATTGTATTCCAGGAATTTAAAACTTTCTACATGTGGTTTTTGCCCAGGTAACTTTAAAATATCAATTTACTCCGAGCTTTACCCATATCTACTTTATGTTCATATACAGAATGTATCAACAGACAAGACGTTATGTCTAACCCTGCGGGTACTATAAGCGAGTTAAAGCCTAATCCCCTGCACCTTCACTGTGCAGCCGTCTATGCTATTACCCACTTACAGAGGATTACGCCCTCTTCGCTACACATTTTAGAGTGCTAAAACCACCTCCATATTCCCTAATGCAGCGGAGTACAGCAATTATAATTGTAAGCACAGCTTTAATTAATAATGAAATCCTTTATCTATCATGCATCACTTTAAGCGTTAGTTAATAGGCTTTTACAGACGAAGCCACCAGGTGTTACTTTGGATAGTCTGTATTAACAGTAACTTTCCTTACAGTAAGTCAAGGATCACTGTGTTTGAAGATGATGTGGCAAAAACCACTACGTTAGGCAGATTTAGTCTTTAATAGCTGGTCGCTACCTGCACGTGGTTCCACTGTCCGGTTGCCATTTTGGTCCATGAAGATAAATCTTCCTCCGGTGAAGTCAGAGCCGTAGTCAGACAGGTACAGGAGGGAGGTGTAGTCAAAAGAGCCATAAGTCACCTGACAGAGAGTGAGAAAGGAAGACAGTACCTGCATTAAAACATGACCTTCACTCCCCTGCTAGTAATTAAACTGACAATTTGTACTAAATACTGCCATTGAAACCAGGACTAAGAGTCTGCAACCATTACATTGAGTACCAGCCCAAAGTTAGAAGCACAAACTTTTGAAACAACACATTAGTTTTTTTTTTTACTAATCCATGAATGGTTATTAAGCTCTTGTAAAGGAACGCTTCACCAATTTTGGACTAACTGTTCGACCGAGTAGAGAACACAACACCATCTATAATACATGGCTTTCCCATCATTGCAGTATCTCAGCCACGTGTTTGTGGCCACTGTGTCAGCCACTCTCGTTGGAAAGAGTAATATTTGGTCTTCTCCTCACTCGTGCGATCTCCTGCAGCCGGGTCACCTTCACTGCTCTCCTAAGATCTTTGGGGCTGACTAAATGTGTTTTTTTCCATTTCAAAAAGAAATCAACAGTTTGCATTTGCACTAACAAGAACCTCCTGATATCACAAAGTGACACATAAAATGTGGGCATACTTGCAAGTCACAATGGTGCAACTATTTATTCATCATTATGCATGCAGTTCTGCAACTAATGGATTGTAGTCTAAAGGCAGCCCTGCCTCAAAATGTAGAGAAATGAATTCCTGTAAAGTTAACTGTGCTATGGGCTGTTTATGTTACAGCTAATAAGAGATGCTCAGATCCACGAGAGCCCTCTGAGCTCAAACATACACGATAGCCTTAATGAAACATCAAAGAAAAGGAACAAGGAGTGGCTGTCTTTTCAAAGAGTCAAACAGTAATTTCAGACTGAGCGAGCGCTCTCACTTGATCATACCTCAAAGAAAGAACAACAAAGTGACCTGCTGAGAGTTTCATAAATCTCTGAAACAACTGTTTCCGATGGGGTTCTATAGTTTAAATGCGCAACATTTCATTTTATAAAACAATTAATTAATATAAATTATCTGTCTGAAGTCTATGTCTCTGCCTGCCTAAATGCCTAATTAACCTGCAACTGCCTAATAATTGATAACTGAGGTGCTTTGGGTTCTGTAACATTTGTTGGGGGCATGTTAAATAGTAAACTGGGTTTTCATTTACAAGGTGAGACAGTACATTGGAATCATGCCATCAACCAATATGGGAAAAAAAGAGTGAGAAAAGACAGTATAGAGACTATGAGGGCTGAGAAGCTGCATAGGGTTACCATGTACATTCATATAAAAGGTGCTATGATACATTGCCAGCTAGGGGTGCTTGATTAAAAGCCCCCCCCCCCAAAGTTAAAGGTTTGTTCTGTAGCTTAAAAAGAGCCGATGGATGGAGAAGGTTTTACTTTTTACTTTTCTGATTCAGCTGTTAAATATAAAGTAATGTAATGTTTTCTATAGTTAGATTTTGCTCACATTTGAGTGTCTGTCAGTGCCTGTAGCAAAACCTGGGTAAATAACCACCGAGGGGAACAAGCTGAAAACACATTTTATCACTATATAAATTATTGTTAGAAAACAATTACCAACCAGCAGACACGGAGCAACATTATCAGTGATGTGGAGCTGTGTATTTGGCCAACATAATTCAATATTCACTGTCTTTTTAGCTTTGTTTTGGTCTCTACCAACTCCTGTGACAAGAATCTGGCTCTTTAGCTACTAGATGCTCCACTATGTTTATTAGCTAGTCGCCAAAGTTGTCTACTGTTTGGTGCTACGTAGGAAGCAATCAGTAGGTTTAGCAGAGCTTTAGCAGAGTTTGTGGGCCAGACTAAAAGAGGCTAAAACAGCCTCTGAAAAAATAAAAGTTGAAATTGAAGTGAAAAATTTAAGGTGGACATCTCAAGACATACAGTATCTTACAAAAGTGAGAACACCCCTCACATTTTTGTAAATATTTGGTTATATCTTTTCATGTGACAACACTAAAGAAAGGACACGTTGCTACAATGTAAAGTAGTGAGTGTACAGCTTGTACAACAGTGTAAATTTGCCAATGTCCAAATTGGGCCCAACTAGCCATTTTCCTTCCCGGTGTCAGGTGACTCATTAGTGTTACAAGGTCTCAGGTGTAAATGGGGAGCAGGTGTGTTAAATTTGGTGTTATCGCTCTCACACTCCCTCATACTGGTTACTGGAAGTTCAACATGGCACCTCATGACAAAGACCTGAGCATCTGAAAAAAAGAATTGTTGCTCTACATGAAGATGGCCTAGGCTATAGGAAGATTGCCAAGACCCTGAAGCAGCACGGTGGCCAAGGCCATACAGCGGTTCAACAGGACAGGTTCCACTCAGAACAGGCCTCGCCATGGTCGACAAAATTTGAGCATCATATCCAGAGGTTGTCTTTGGAAAATAGAGGTATGAGTGCCGCCAGCATTGCTGCAGAGGTTGAAGGGGTCGGGGGTCAGCCTGTCAGTGCTCAGACCATACGCCGCACACTGCGTCAAAATGGTCTGCATGGCTGTAAACAGTTTGCTGAAGACAAGGAGACTAAGGACATGGATTACTGGAACCATGTCCGGTGGTCTGATGAGACCAAGATAAACTTGATTCAGATCGTGTCAAACGTGTGTGGCGGCAACCAGGTGAGGAGTAAAAAAGACAAGTGCGTCTTGCCTACAGTCAAGCATGGTGGTGGGAGTGTCCTGGTCTGGGGCTGCATGAGTGCTGCCGGCACTGGGGAGCTACAGCTCATTGAGGGAACCATGAATGCCAAAATGTACTGTGACATACTGAAGCAGAGCATGATCCCCTCCCTTCAGAGACTGGGCCGCAGGCCAGTATTCCAACATGATAACGACCCCAAACACACCTCCAAGACGACCACTGCCTGGCTAAAGAAGCTGAGGGTAAAGGTGATGGACTGGCCAAGCATGTCTCAAGACCTAAACTCTATTGAGCATCTGTGGAGCATCCTCAAACAGAAGGTGGAGGAGCGCACGGCCTCTAACATCCACCAGCTCTATGATGTCATCATGGAGGAGTGGAAGAGGACTCCAGTGGCAACCTGTGACACTCTGGTGAACTCCATGCCCAAGAGGGTTAAGGCAGTGCTGGAAAATAATGGTGGCCACACAAAATATTGACACTTTGGGCCCCATTTGGACATTTTCACTTAGGGGTGTACTCACTTTTGTTGCCAGCAGTTTAGACATTAATGGCTGTGTGATGTGTTATTTTGAGGGGACAGCAAATTTACACTGTTATACAAGCTGCACACTCACTACTTTACATTGCAGCAAAGTGTAATTTCTTCAGTGTTGTCACAGGAAAAGATATAATCAAATATTTACAGTATTCACTTTTGTGAGATACTTTATATACATAAACTAAAACACTAGAGGTATGTGACAAACCATAGTCGACCTTTCAAATTAATTCATGTTCTGTAGTTCCAAGGTCCAAATCCACCAGTGCAGGAGGCTATTTTACAGCAATGATCACCATATTAACAACTTGGCATACATCTTTACTTCAGCAGCAAGAAAAAGCCACAGTCCTAAATGGAAATCCTACATTTGATTTGATTGATTTGTCTGCACCTATATTTCAGTTTCATTATGAAGTTTATCCCTGCCATGAATGAGCTAAAAAAAACACAACAACCGCTTTTTGTGCTGTCTTACTACAACTACTGCGGTGACACTCTTTCAGCAATATGATTGATGGGGAAAAAATTCACCACCAAAGACGTCCGATTCCATTTACATTTAAATGAGGGTTGGGTTAGCCAATTAGCCTCAATATGGCGGCAGAGACAGATGGGGGAGAGAAGTGGGTCCTTTCAGATTAAATTTTTCCAACTGTTGAGGGCCAGCGGGAGAGGATGTGGAAACAAATTTTAATATGGTCGAGGCAACAGCAAACACGCTATGTTCCGAGAAATACCACTAGCAAAGAAAATATGTACAGTCTCTTTTCCTTCTTCCCTTTTCTCATTTAGCAAGAGAGGAATTTAGATCAATATTGAGACAGATGCTTCACCAGGTTTATGAGTGATGCCAATAAACAACGCCTCCAGGCCTATATTTTCTTTCTTATCTTTCCTAAAACAACATTCAGGGATGTCAGCCGTCTTACACTAAATTGCAATGATTTTTATCAGCCTTCTGGCGAGACAATAAGAAGAAACAACAAATAACATTAAATATACTCCCAATCAGAAGAATTCCTAGCAGCTCAGGAGATACATGCCATCTTATTTTTCCATTTTTTAACTAAATAAGTTGTAAAGCATTGAAACTTTTTTCTCCCCAGACAGACAACCCATTTATTTTAAACTTGCCTCAAGGTCGTCTTTCAATCCCAGAGAAACAACGTCTCATGACAACGAACAAAGTCCAAAGTGAAAGACTAAGATTAAAGCGGTGAGAAAAAAGCTGCACCACATGTATATTTATAAAGAATGAATGAACATTTTACATAACAGAACAGAGGCATGGACTACAGGAAATTAAGTAGCTGCCTTGAAGGGGAAAACCACTTATTTTAAGACATTATGTATAAATAACTTTCTTTCACCAGTAAGATCTGAAACTTGCAGCAACACAATGTCTGAACTGATGGTTAAAGTGAGCAAGAAAAGTAGGGGAGGGAAAGATCAGTATTTAAGCAAACAACATAACATGGGATAGTTGTTCAAATGGGGATAACAGTGCTCTGTTTCGGACGATCTCGTTTTGAAAACATTCATGGTGTTGCGCTTGTTTGGACTCATGAAGAGTGGCATAAAATGTTGGAGAAAAAAAAGGGAGCTTGAGAGAGAAGTTTTAATCTGAATGGAATATTTTAGAAAGTTACATAAATTGACGGACACAGATGGCACATTTTTGACGTTGGAAAGATGTGGGCAGAGGGAGACACATACCTGCACACAACCTCTAGCATCATAATTCGGTTTTACACAGCTGAAACCACCTCATCTAAAGTATCCAATTGGTGCTCAGTCTCCCTGTGTGCTTTTTTGGTAGGGTGAATGAGTTTGCTTTAATCGAGTCAAACTGACCTTCCTCAGATATCTTCATGGCTTCCAAAAGTGTGGTAACTTTGTTTGGTAACTCTTGCAGATGTTTTGAGTGAATGCTAGACAGAACCACTACTCCATTACTGCCTCCTGACCCTATATCTAAGGGTGAGTCCAGCTGCTCTGTGGAAACTCATTTCCGCACCAACCGAAACCTTTGATTTCAGGTTCAACAAATCCATTCCACATATCAAGAGGATTCCCAT